GTAAAAGTTGTGAAGTCCTCATATTTTGGACATTTTGACTGAGGACTTCCTCAATCACTGTATATAAATATTACTCAAATTTTAAATGCTTGGGAAACATGTAAAGCTCTTTCTTGCAATGGATACAGAAGAATTGAAAATATTTGTTTTTCCAACTTTTTTATGTTTTCAGGAAATTCACCCAGGAAAACTGAAACATAAGAACATTAATGTGGCAACCCTGAAATTTATTACTTCTTTGTCAACATTAATCTTTTCCCTGCCAGGTTTTGAATCAGTATTTTTGTGAAATGCTTTTTGGGGGTCAGTTCTATTTGTAATTTGTTTTTGTTTTGTAGAATCTGTTCCTGGGCCAGTTCCCTGGCCAATTGGATGCCTCTGGGTTCCCCACTCATGCCCAATTCAATGACTATGCCTGGCCCTCCAACTGATGCCTCCCCAAGAAACCCATTTGAAATCATTCAGTGGCATTTTTGTTTCTCTTAAATATTATTCTGACTTGTGAAAAAAAAACTGTTCAACTGATTTTTTTTTTCTTGTGCTTGAAAATGCACCTGGGCCATGTCCCCCCTTTTTTTCTACAACCCAAAATGAACATGTGTTCAATTTCTTTGGGAGGGTTTGGAGGAAAGCTGTGATTTTTCTCAGTCAGGTTCTTTGCTTCAAATTGATTGAGAACACTTTGGGGGTAGTATCTTTTTTTTTTTGAGGGGTGGAAGAAGGTGTCAGTGGAAGCAATAAGTCTGGCTCATCCTCCAGCTCAAGTCAACACTTGGGTGGCAGAAAAAATTTGACCTGTCTGCAGGAGTGGAAAAAGCTCAGGGAGGTATTTTTGCACTTGTTTTCCTCCAAGTGTTGAGTGGGAGGAAGCAATCTTCTTTGGATCAGTGATGACTTCTTCCCTTCTCAGGATTCTTTTTTTTTTGTTTAGTGTCTTGCTTTACACCACAACAACAACAAAAAAATGAGGTGGGGGGAGGAAGGACTAAAATAAAAAGTACTGGGGATAAGAAGCTTGGTCTGGCAACACTTCTGAAACAGCAAAAGTGGGACATTCTTCAGTGTCAAAAATACCAACTTGTCCCTGGATCAGGTACTTTTTGAGAGACACTTTGACACATTGTGTGTTCAAGTGAATATTTAAAAAACACACACATCATACTTGACTAAGACACTAGAAAAATAGCTCTGGAAAATATTTTGATCTACAGGTGATCTTTAAACACACACAGAAATCCAAAATTATTTCTGCATAACTCACAAAAGCACAAAAAAAACTGCAGGATTTCTCCAAATACAGCAATCATTCTCTTAATTACAAAAATGTATCTGAAGACTGTCAATTTTTGCAATCTGGGAATTCTGACCTACATTGCAAAAATAAAAATTGGAAAAAATCTCAAGAGTCTCATTCAGAACCATTTTTTGAAACAAAAACCAATTTTCAAACATTTTGGTATAATTTTCTTTCCCTGAGGATGATGAGGAAAAAAATGTTTCACATTTCAAGGCTTATTTGCAAAATAAAGTATTGTGATGCAGAATTTTTTTTCAAATGCTCAATTTTTACAGTGAATTTGGAAATTCTCAACATTTTTTAAAATATTGGAATTCAGATTCACAGAGGAAGTGAGTCGAAAGATCTCATATTTTGTTGTAAAGAAGCCATTTGATCATGACAAACGCGGTTTTCAAAATTTTCAGCCTTTTTTTGCTGGAGATGATTTTGAAAAAATTGAAAAAAAAATTCCGAAATTGTTCCTCAATTTTCGGCATAAATTATAAAACTTTGGAAACGGTGGAGACATTTTTTCAAGTGATCTGTAAACTAAAAACTTCTTATATTCCCAATTTTGACTATGGACTGAATTATGCACGAAAATCTCAAGATTTTTTTTATTTGAATATCGCTTGAAATTAATCCCATTTTCAAAATATTTCTCTTGGACCTTGTAACACCCAACAATTCGAAGAAAAAAATATTCGGGAATTCTTCCTTCAATTTTCTGCACCGAATATTTCCAAGGCTTCAGAAATCATTTTGTGCCTTATTTTTTTCAAACTTACTTCAAATTTGATCTTTTCAAATTCAATCATTTTCAATTCAAATTATTTTCAATTCTTCCTTCAATTTTTTTACAACAAAGTTTCCAAGACTGTAGAAAACATTTTGTGCCTTATTTTTTTCAACTTACTTCCAATTTGATCTCTTCATATTCAATTCTTTTCAATTCTTCCTTGAATTTTTTTTACAACAAAATTTCCAAGACTCCAGAAAACATTTCGTGCCTAATTTTTTCCCAACTTACTTCAAATTTGATCTTTTCAAATTTAATTCTTTCCAATTCAAATTCTTTTCAATTCTTCCTTCAATTTTTTACAACAAAATTTCCAAGGCTCTAGAAAATATTTTGTGCCTCATTTTTTTCCAACTTACTTCAAATTTGATATTTTAAAATTCAATTCTTTTCAATTCAAATTCTTTCCAATTCATATTCTTTTCAATTCTTCCTTCAATTTATTACAAAAATATTTCCAATGCTCCAGAAAACATTCTGTGCCTAATTTTTTTCCAACTTACTTCAAATTTGATCTTTTCAAATTAAATTCAAATTCTTTCAATTCTCCCTTCAATTTTCCACACAAAAATTCCGAAGGCTTCAGAAAACATTCTGTGCTTAATTTTTTTCCAACTCACATAAAATTTGATCTTTTCACGGTATTTTGCGACAAAATAAAATCTCAGCAAAAATCCAACAACAACAAAAAATAAAAATGTTTGGAAAAATCTCAGAAATTTCCCTGCCTTTCTTGGACCACTTTAAAACACCAAGGACTCAAGCTGTGTCGAAGGAGGTGGAGTGGGGGGTTAATAATGTTCCTTTCACTCAACTGAAGAGAAACACTGGTGAGCAATTAACCCTGTCGACGTCGAGGATTTCCCACGCAAGCCCAAGTGTCGACTTTCTTCCCCCCCCCCCCCCCGAAAAAAATATAAAGAGGGCCAGTCAAAAAATGCTGTCCCAGGAACCATAAAAATCCCCCTATCAGCGCAAAAAAATCCCCTATTCCGGAATAATCGCCGAAAAATAAGCATGCAAAAAAATATATAATTGACTCACCGCACGACGACTCTTTGGAGAAGATGGATAGAAGTTGCCAAAACTCCCTTCTTGAGAGGATGTGACGGAACTTTTGGAAAAGGACACTTTTCTCGCGTTGGAAAGGTGGGACAGGGGGGTTTTTTATTTATTATTTTTTTCTTCTCTTCTGTTTAGCAAATGGGGGGTAGAATTTATGGCGTCCTGGCCGCGATTTGGTTCAAGGCCCGAGGCTTTTAAGCTTCGAGTTCTGGTGACATATAGCCGATTAGCTCCTGGGTGCTGGACAAGTCCGCGGTGGACAAATGCCCGCCATCATCACCCTTTGGGGTAAAAAGGCAGCTAAAAATAATAACTTTACTCTGGGTTTCTGGCATCATTGAAAAAAGGGCAAATGGCCAGAATAAGTCCCAATTCCCTCTGGAAACTCTTCAAACAAAAAAATAGAAAATAATTACATTTCCAAGGAATATTTATTTCTGACTTCTCAGACTCAAATTTATGCATGGAAAATTAAGTTGCACTAGATGTGGACAACTTGCAAATACTGTAGTTGAATTGAAATTCCACACATTTTAAATTAATTATTTCACAAAAACATTTCATTGACCTTCACAATTGGGCAAGATATTATTTTCAAATAATAGGACTGACTTTCCAGTGATTTTGAAAATTTCCATGTCTGGAATTGAACATTTTTTTAGGCTGGAGAATGCAACTAAACTTTCTAAATCAACAAAATCCTCCAAATGAATAAATTAAACTTATAAAAATTAAATCATTTTTGCCCAGACTTCTTTTTCATGTGCAGAACCTATTCCTTCCTGCAATTCACAAAACTAATCCAATCCAAGATGCATTTCATGGTGCAAAAGAAAAATTCACTCAAGAGGCTCCATTCTGAAGGATTTGATTTGTTTTGGACATCCATTAAAATGTTATAATAACCATGAAAACTATTCATTTTTTTCAGTATTCATCACAAGTATTCAAGAATTTAAATTCATCAGTAGGAAACAGGATTCATTCTGAAAAGTTTGCCATTTCAACTTACAGAATTTAGCAAAAGTTTGATGCATCAACAGACTAAACTATACCCTTACTTCCTCAATTTTCACAAAATGCTGAAGTTTCATTTTTCTTAATGTTAAAACCTGAACAACCTTGGCAAGCAAAAGTAAAATGTGGAACACTGTGTTGCATAAATCACAAACCCTCCCAAAAATAAACTTTGAATGGCAAAAATATATTCAAGGGAATCTAGTTCATTAGGGACCCACTACAAAAGTAATTGCTTTACAATGACATTCTCTAAGTAACAAATTTCAAGATCCCCCACAACAAAATTGTTTCTGGTTGCTTGAATTTTGTTATAGAGAGAATCCCCCTGGCTAAAATCCCAACCCCACTGGAGATGAAACGTCCCAACGGATTTGTACTGACACCCAAGGAGTCGGTGGGAGGCAAGGAGAAACGATAATGTTCCTCTCTTCAAGCAGCAGGAAATGGACCAGAAAACCCTAATAAAAGGCATGTCCCCAGACTCCAAAATATAATATCCCTTTCCAAGCAAAAATCCAAGCAAGCCAGGGTTCACATTCCCACAACCCCTCACCCACTTTCTTTTTTTATTTTGCACAACTCCGGATTAGTCACAGGTGCTCAATTGACAAGTGCAGGAGTATGGAGAGAAAAAGGCCAATAAATCCCCTCGTCGAACTGCGACCGAATTCAGCACTGCAACAGAAGAAGAAACAAAACCAAAAAATACATATTAGACTTAGTAGGAATAATGGGGTAAGTGGAATAAAAATGGGGAGTCTGGTTAAATCCAAGTTGTACAAATGTTCTGAGTTTTATTGCCTCCAATACCCTTAGCTCAGTTTCTTCCCACTCAAAAAAAAAATACCTGCCCTAACATTCCATGCAGCATTTTCTCGCTTCTCTTTCACCTTATTTTTTCAACAAAAAGTCGCCAACTTTCACACATCAAAACAAAAAAAAGCTCCAAATGTTTCCTCCCTCACGCAATAAAAACATTTCTTCTCATGCTGAGGTCCAACACTTCTCAAGTTCAGGAGAATTCACAAAAAATGCCTTCTTGGATGAATTACAACACAATTTTTTTTCTCTCGAATATGTATATGTAAAAAAAAAACAATGTTGAAGCACACTCGACTTTTCGTTGCTTTGATTTGAAGTTAAGACAGTGAGGGTTCCTAGTCCTTGACTAGTTGCCTTGAGCTGTTATGAGCTGAGGTCAAAAAAGACCGCTGCTGACCCAGTATAGTAAAAAAAAAACGAAAAAAAAATTGACACAGACTCGAGCATTCACACAAACAACACGGTTCCCAAAACAAAACAAAAACTTTCACAGATAACTGCGGCAGTGTGAGTGTGTGTGGGGAAAAAGACGCAATTCTTTCCTTTGTTGAGCAAATGCCCACAGAACAAAATGACAAACTGGGTTCCACAGCTGACACAAAAAAAAAAAAAAGTTCCCTCAATTTTATTTTTCCCCTCTTTCTGAGGGGGGTTCAAGGGTTGTTTCTTTCTTTTCGTTCTTTAGGATGAATTGGGACGTCTGTCTTCAGCCAGGTCCATTGGGTACTCAATGACTTGGGTCTCCAGCATGGAACCTGGGTCTGAGTTTTGGGACTCGTCTTCATCTTCACCAATCACTAGTCGACCTTCATCTTCTTCAGCTTGTTCTGGAGTAGAGGGCGACTCCTCATCACCTGTGGGGGAAATTTGAGAGTGAGACAAGGTTTGTGAAAGGATTCCTAGGTGTCGCTTCTTGAGTTGTCTTAATTGACACTATACCCTTTCCAAGCAATTTCCACTAATATATTTCATGTTTCCCAATGCAAAAAGTCAAAATTTCCACAGCAATGAACTTCCAAAAAAATGTTTGTCAGCTGGAATTTGTTCTTTGCAAGTAATTTTAATGCTAAATAAAGTGGCATTTTGAGGGCCAATATTTTAGCCAGGGAGAAAAGGTGAGGTGCAAACAAAATTTTTCTTGGAAGTGGCATTTCATAGCCAAGAATAAAGTGTGCTAACTTACTTCTCCAATTTTTCCCAACACCTGTCATTTATAAAATACAACAGAAAGCTCAAAAAGTCACATCAACAGTGTGTGAAAATACTGTAGGGATCCTCAAGTGAACAGATTTTGACAATTTAATTAGACAAGAGAGAAGTTGGCAATTTTTATGTCAGTGATGCTGGCTGTGTTTTTCCTTGTTACTTGAAGAGCAAAAAATTTTCCAAGCTGCCATTTAAAAAAGCACCAAACAAGATAAAAGCTGTTGGAATTTGGAGATTTCTGAAAATTCAGGAACTTGGAAGCATTCAAGAACACTGTACTTCAACTTGCTGACATGATTTCAAAATCATCCAATAAACATTTGAATGCTTTCTACGTTGAAAAATACAGAAACATTTTGCTTTCTTGAATCAAATTCAAAGAATACAAACCACTGTAGCCATAATCATTGGTGCTGCGCCTGAGGTGGTTCTGCAACTGATTCTGCCTCAGCCTGTCGACAGTTTCATTCAGAGTCCTGGGCTTGGCAAACCTGACAAAACCACACACAAAAAAACCAAGTTCTTCACTTCCGGCGTCAACCATAAAATCTCACTCACAGATGTCGTACCTGGAACTCGTCATTTTGGCAGAAAACTTCTTGTGGTGCACGTGATGGTGAGAGGAACCATTCCCTCTCAAATCCAACACTGTACCGCCAGATTGCCCATGATTCTGATAATTATTCAGCTGATGCTTTTCGAAAGAATTGACAATCACGTCAGACGTGTCAGTCCTCAGAATGTGTGGGAGGAGAGATTCGATAGTGGCGTCCCCTATGAGGCCAGCGAAGAAAATCTCCTCCATGACCTTGGATGACACGGCTCGGAGTTGTTGCAGGGTTGCCAACAGTCGGAGGGCCCTTGAGCGGGCCGCCATGACAGCCAGGTCGCGTCTCTGTGGGTGAGAGCGTGCGAAGTGGGCTTGCAGACCCTGGAGGACTTGCCAAGTTTGACTGCCTGGGTCTGACACTGTCTCATCTGGAAATGGCACAATATTTCAATGCATGCTGAAAAAATTCTCAGACAGGGATAACAAGAAAAGTGCACATTCTTAATCTGGGAAGCACTGATAAGTGGATACATATGAGCTTTGATCTTTCTTCACTCAGTGATCTATTCTCCTGTCAGAATATTCTTACAACTGACACTGGATCATCTGGAAATGTAATAATATTTCAATGCATGTGAAAAAAAAGAGGGATATGAAAGATACTACAGAAGTTTAAACCTAAAATCATTGAGAAGTGAATTCAACCTTTGATCTTTCTTCACTCAAGAATTCAGTATTCTGTCAGTTTGTTCACATATTCTTGAATTGGTTTGAAAGCTGGAGGACAAAAAATAGGCATAGGAACCCATGATTATATTTTAAATTGATCCACTGAATAATTGTGGAACTCAGCAAAAACAAGGAATGGCTTTGCTAAAATTTAAAATGGTTTAGAACAGGAAATGGGAATGCAATGAAGAAAATGAAGCACCTTCATTTTCTTCATCCTCATATGCTTCCCAGCAGTTCTCAAATTGTGTGAACACAGAATAAAGTTTAGCAGAAAGTCTTGAAACATTCTGACAACTCAGCATCAATATGATCAACAGTGATTCAGGAGAAATTTCAGTTACACAAAGCACAGAAGATTAAACAGGTGCTGACAATGTTAAATTATGGCTTCTTTGGACTTAAATGGTAACAGAATCCAGTCCATGACACACAAGAGGCTTCCAAACAATGCTTGCTTCAAATGGGATTTCATTGGTTTGAGCTGGGAACTGGCACATGACCAAGTTAGGATTGCTTTCCAAAATCAAACAATTCAAAGGCATTCTTGAATATTGAAAAATGCTCCAGAAGATTGAAACAAAATAAATCCTTATCCCTCAAATTTCTCCAACAATTCGAACATTCTGATCTAATCATGAAGAAATCTTGTAATTCCCTCAGCAAACGAATAAATGAATAGTTAGAACCCTGTTACAACACAATTAATTAGATGTGCATCCTGATGAATTTTTTGGTATACAAAGTCCACTGGATTTATTTTGAGCCAAGAAGCGACACCTACCAACACTGAATAGCACCAGGGCCCTGAGGAAAGCGAATTCCACATCATCAACCCGCATTTGGTTCATCGCCATCACAAATGCCCGCATTTTCAGCAGATGCTCCGTCACCTGGAATCAAATCAGAAAATGAATTTATTGACAATCAAATAATTGAGTAGATTTCGCATGCATCATAGCAAAAAAGAAAGGAATGGAATTACTCCAGAAAAGCTATTGGGGAAAACTCTTCCCATTAGAAATCACCAGACCAAACTAAAATTGGCACACAAAACATTCAAGCGACATCTACTTGAGAACATGGCAAAACCAGCAGGAAACAGACAATGTAAAGAAAAGAGTTTTTTTTTCAAAATGATCATACTTCTTTCAGCTTTTCCACAGTGATTTTGTCCTTGCTGTGAGCTTTCTCCAGCAAGGGTGACACAGCTGCCAAGATTTCTCCAAACTGCATCTCCCTGTGCCTCTGAGCAACCCCAAGCATGAACAGATCACACCAACACCTGCGCATCACAGCAGCATGTTCATCCAATCTGCAACAACAAACAGAACATTCCAATCATCATTTCATAAATTTTAGGTCCACCTCAAAAATGTGGTCATCTGAGACCCATCTTTTCTGCAACACAACTAGGTGACAATTATCTTTCACAGGTCTCATAACTTGACCATGGATCCATGTCCAGGTCAGTAGCATGTTTTAGGACATGTTTTGAGAGTACTGCACAGTAATTTAACATATTGGACAATTTCAATACCAGGACAAAACATAAAAATCCACATTTCCAGAAACTTGACCTCCAATTTTTGTCCTGCTCTAGAGCATATCTACTTGGGACAAGTACAAAACACTTTTACCACTGATAAATGATCACTGATGCAATTCTCCTTGTATAAACCAAAACAAACGAACATTTGACAATTTCAAGTCCAGATAACAGGTAAGTAATCTCCATTTTCAAGGAATTTTCTGTGAGTCTCTGTCCTGCTAAAGACCATGTCCGCTTTGGGCAAGCCCAAAAAACAATTTCCCATTTCTTCCAAAACATGCCAGTACAAATGCTTTCAACACATAGATATTCTCATCAACTTTAAATTGTCTTAACTTCAAACTTCAGAGCAAAACTTCAATGGGACCAGTTTTTCTTCAACAGAAAGAGAAGACACAAACTGAAAATTCCAGCGCGAAGACAAGAAGAATGAATCTCACGTTTTCCCAGCAAAAGCAGGCAGCCTCTTGGCCCAGGTAACACTGAGAAACAGCATCCTGGAAGCAGCGTCATAGATGGCAGGCACGTCGAGCTGGGCGGGCATCCCTGACACGGGCCTCAGGTCAAATCCTACAGCACTGGGGCCCAAGACAGACGCCATTTGCAATTCGGCAGTGTATTCGTCGTGAGAGGATGTCGAGGATGCAGAGCAGGAGGAAATGAAGTCCTCTTCATCTTCTTCTGACACCACATCCACTTCTTCCAATGCAGCCGCGTCTTTCTGCAAGAAAATAAAATCGTAAGAACTCATTAAAAAAATTCTGTTCCATTAGGTTCTCTAGAAAATGGATCAGGTCACTCAAAATATGAATCCTTTCCACTTCCAATAACCAAATGGTCAAGGGCGAATAATCATACTGTGCTTATTGCCTCAATTTTACTTCATACAGTACATCTAAAAAAAAGATATTTCTAGTGTCCACCCGAACCAAGAGTTCCTTTCAAGATGGATAGGTGTCGCCTGGATCCACTGACCCGCAACAAATTCTAGTTTAAATTAATTAAGCTTGAAAATGGGCCATTTCCACAACAGAAAAACGAAACAGAACTCAATTCCGCACATGACTTGAACTAAAATTTCCTAGATGTCGCCCAAATCGTTCACATATTTTATTCCTCAAATATATAGCAGGTCACAAATTCCTTAGGCTGTACAGTTAAAAAGCGCGAAACATTGATGAAAAAAGGAAGGGATTCCCCACCAGTTTTTCCAGGTCCTCAAACACTCTTGCTTGCCTCCTGCTCTTCTTCTCCAGCCCTTCAATCCCATTCGCCATGGGAACTTCTCCAGCTACAGCTGACAAGGAGGATTTGCCTGAAATCAGTAAAAAATAATTCATTATACAGTACAAAAAATCGGAGATGAAATTAATTCAAGGTACATCTATCCTGGAAATTGTTTCTACTCTGCCATTATTCAGGATCAACCAATTCGGAGGAAGAAACCTCACAGTAAATTAGGCAACTTCCAGTTCATAAGCTTTCAACAGTATAATTAAAACTAAATCCAAGTACAGTATAAATAAAACTGGACATTAAGTTACGCGGAGACAAACAAGTGGGGATTGAGAATCATGAAAATGTACTGCGTTAGGAAATATTTGCAATGAAGAATTTTACCACCAAAGAAATAACAATTTTCTTCCAGAAACATCACTAGAACTGAAAAATTGCAGAAACATTATTAAATATACTCAAGAACACACAAATGACGAATCCTTGAGAATTTCAGGAAGATAAGCTTTCAGAGACCATTTTGAAAATATATATCAAAATTCCTTGCCTTCACCTTACTCATTCAACTGTCATTCATTCGTAAATACAAAGTTTCTCAAATTTCTGCATTTCAAAAACCTCAAACTACTATTTTTGTATCATCACATTTTTCAAATGGAATAGAGCAACTTTCTCCAACCGAGGCACCATTCCACCAAAATTTTATTATGAGTATAAATAGCGGATGAAAACTGAGTAGCTAAAGGGTTAGTAATACCGTAAATTTTCAAAATTTGTCTTCGAAAAAAAAAAAACACTAACGTTTTGGGAAATCTCCGAGGCGAGAATCTCGACCCGTAACAACAATCGCAGGTTCCAGCAAACTGTTCAACCTGTCCTGCAGGGACAAGTCTCCACCCAAGTCCGTCGTCGACTTATTAAACTTGAAATCCGCCGAATTATTATTATTGTTGTTGTTGTTGCTCAGTAGCGAGGCGGCGGCGCCGAGAAAAACGGCGGCCTCCGCCTTCGTCACACGATGATGGTGTTGACTAACACCGCCGCCGCTAGAGCGTGAATTGTTGCGCAGGAGAGACGGGCATGGCGGCGACGTGGACGCCGCCGGAAACCGCTCCGACTTGACCGGCGTGTTATCCATTGCAGTGGCGGTCATAGTGGTCGTGCTTGTGGCGGTGGCGCAGCCATGGGACGCCGTTTGTCCGTTGACCTGAACTGAGCGACGAGATTGGGAGGTGATCGTGGCGGCTTCAGGCGGTGCTGCGGGTTCCAAGGTCCCGTAGGAGCGAACTGTTGGGGGGAGGCGAGGAAGCGACATCTACAGTTAAGCTTCGCAACATATTCATAACCAGTGCTACAAAATGGATTATATAGGTGTCAGCACAAAACAATATCAAACTGTGGCACTAACATAGACCCTCTCATAGAATGAATTTAGAATTTTAGATACTGCATCTGAGTAGAAAAAGTTCATTGTAAAAATAATTCAATTGCAGACAACCCATAAAACATGGCTGGGGAGAGAACCCTTTTTGGACCAAACAAATACCTCTATTACAATGAAGATTATTGTGAAGAGATTCCATCAATACTATTCAGTTCACTGTTCAGCAATCTTCACTTGTTCCCCAACAGGTGTCAATATGAAAAAAAAGTTATGTTCAAAATCTGAACATTTAAAAAGTAGCACTAAATGGCAGTAAATTGTCACAATTTGTTCAAGTACTGTACATTACATGATTGCTGGAATTGGTGATGAGCATTTTACACAGGAATGTTTCCAATTTGTGAAGGTTCCACACAATTAATATTTTCCAACCCAGGAAATATAAGGTCAGCATTTTCATTCAGAACCACCAACACATAATATGGCATGGTCAAGATGGTGATTCTTATTCATGGAAACCAACCTGTCTGTCATGCATTGGCCTTATTCAGTAAAATCTATATATTTTTAAACATTTGCATCCCTTGAAAATTTAATGAAATGTGATTATGGGAGTTAAATCTGATTCTATCCCACTGAAAAGACTGAGAAAAGCAGTAGACTATTTTGGAACATTTCAATTTTTTAGAGTTGAATGAATTGTTTTCCACGCACAATTTTAAACATTAAAGGGAAAGCACTCTTACAATTTACATAAATATCAATAATTTACATGTCATTTTTCCAAGTCAAAGTTACTCCATAATCAATCAATAAATAAACTCCAAATGCTGTACTGTAATACAGTACAGTACATAAAAGAAAATTTTCTGATAATGAAGCAAGGAATGTTATGTTTTCTTTCCTCAAACTCCCATTAATTTTCACATTTCAGAATCCAAAATAAAAATCTGAGTTATTCTCAAAGAAATATGAACAAAAAAATTGTGGAAACTCACAATCACTTCGCATGCCCATTTCCAAGCATTTCTGCAGCCTGCAAAACTGACATCTGTTCCTATGATGCTTGGTGACTTCACAATCCTTGTTCCCTCTGCAAGAGTATCCCAACTGCTTCCGGATGGATCTCTTGAAGAATCCCTTGCATCCCTCACAGCTAATAACTCCATAATGCCTCCCTGCAAAAAAAATAGCACAAGAATGAAGCAATGGATCAGCGTCACAATCAAAAATAGCAGCACACAAAGCCGGAAACCAGAGATTTTTTTCAACCCCACCCCTTTCCCCCCCAAAAATAGATCAAAAAAGAGGGGGCTTTCAAGGCATAGAACATCCAGACAATGGGAGGAGTCCCCCGGTGATACCGTATCCGAAAAAAATGGGGGAGAGGAAGAGGAAGAAAAGAGAGAAAGAATGAAAGAGGAGGAGGAGAAATTTATTTGTGGACTTCTTTTCTCCCAAACGGTCAACGTTTCAATTTAGATCACGCTCACAGAGGCAGAAGAAAACGAGCAACGCAACACCCCCCGGTCACCGGTCTTTCAAAGGAATCCCAATCCCTCAACAAAAATAAGGGGAGAAAAAAATTCATATATTTATCACCACCATCCGGTGTCCAAAAAAAATGTTGGGAAAAAAATAAACTGACGCCTTTCCTGGTCGGTCTCCTTTGTAGCGACCACCGTGGGAAGGTAAGTAAAAAATACACACACACACAAAAAACCTATCCACAAAGAAAACGTTTGACATTGGGTCAGGTTGAGAACAAGAGTGAAGAGAGAGAGATTTCAAAATCCTGGATTTACACCAACAGGAAAAATAATAATTTCACTAGCACAAATTCAAGCATGAATTTCCACCCCTTACAAAAAATCAGGACCTACAGGGTGGTTGATTGATCACCATGAAAATGATCAACCATAACCTACTGACTCATGAGTGATTCAGAATGAATAATGGGCTGACTGATCACCATGTAGGACACGAATACAATCAAATTCAACTCCCCCCTTCCACATACAAACTCACTGCTCAAAGTGGCCATGACTTATCAGGAACCAACACCCCACTCCATCTTTTTATGTCATTTACTGCTACTGTAAATTTAAAAAAAAGACATACGTGTAAATGCATTACTGTATTTCTATCCTCAAAAATACCATTGGGCATCATTGAAAAGTTAGATGAAATTATGCTTCAAATTTGCCATGATACACCAGGAACCCAAACACACCCTTTTTTATATGTGATTTAATGCTACTATACATTAAGAAAAACATGAATATAAATACATTACTGTACTCCTCCGCCCATAAATTTCACAAGGCGTCAGTAATTACGAATTAGATTAATTGTTCATAGGAATATTTTCTGGTCCAGTCAATTTTTGCGTGGACACTTTTCTCCCACCATCACCATCCCTGAACCAGGAGTCACAAAAATGTTCTGAACATGTATCATGCATCGAAAAATATGCTTGAAATCATGATTAGGGCGATTTCGTTCTGGGTCCTTCCCTACGATCGACACCCCCCCCCCCCCTCTTTTCCCACTAGAAGACGCGCCTGCGAATGACCTTTGCCCAGAATACGGAATTCTGGGATATTCTATTGTCACCACGGTATAACTTCATCAATCACGAAGTGCCACATATGAAATTCACAAAAATCACATCCACGCAGGGTCACTTCGGTCGATACAATCCACACCCAGTATTATACACGTACATATGCACGCACGCGCAGGCATCCCTTAACCCCGCCCCCCGCCCGAAGTTACCTCAAGGACAGACGCAAAGGGTGAAAAGGAGAGTAGCGGCTCGTTCGTACGCGCACACACACATATATACATCAACAGAGGTAAACGAGAAGATCGGAGAGAGGGAGAGAGAGAGAAACGGGAAAAGACGTAAAAGAAGGGCAAAGCGAGAGGAGAAAAGACGGGTGAAAATAGAAGGGATTTTTTTCTGTATCTCCCTTCTTTCTTCTTCTTCGGGCAACTCCTCGTTAATCCCTTTGATTCCACGAGTTTTTCCCCCCTCACTTCCTTCTTTCTTTCTTTTTCTTTTGCTACAGTCGCGTTTTTCTCAGGGGGGCGACCGAGTTCAAGGACAGCGACGGTCGACCGGTCTCTTTCTCTCTCTCTTTTCCTTGGTCACCGAGAAAAGCCTTGTTCTTTCTTTCGCCATCATCATCATCATACACCCTTTTCTCACCCAGTATCTCCCTTACTACACCACCCTTTGAAATGGGATTTGAGAACCATACATTTTGAAGGAAAGTTTTCTCTCTGCAGTACTTCGAAAAATACCGGGCTAGTTCGAAAATATCATGACAAATAAAGGGTTACACATA